AATGTCATTTAATGGTACGTACTCTTCTTTTTATAGGTCTAGAATTAGTGAATTTAAGTATCTAAAATATCTATAGGGTCTGTAAGTAGCTCTTTGAACAGACTATTATTGTTGATACTGTTAACGTGTAATTCTTGCGAACTACAACTATTAAATAGAGTGTTCAAGCAGTTTATTCTTTTTAATTGAGCGGTAATCTTTCAACGGTTAACAAGTTTTATTTCAGACTGATTCTCAAAAATATTTATACTATTACAATGAGCAGTAATTCAACAGATTGCCAATGAGTTATAATTGTAAAATAATGTGTTTATTCACGAGTAAAATAGTAAAAGTAAATAAAAGGAAATAAAAAAATAAAATAAAAAAAGAAAAAAAATGAATTACTGAAACTAAAAATGTAACGTGATAGGCCAGTTGCCTCTAAAAACTACTAAAACTAACTTGTCGAATTCCTATCTATTTGTCTTTTTACATAAACTAAAAAGCTATCTATTTATATAAAATAAATTACATAGAAAGATATAATTAACATGTTTATTATATCAATTATGTCTAATATATCAACTATATCTAATATGTTAACTATGTCTAATATGTCAGTTATGCCACATATGTCATATATATCACTTATGTTAAATTAGTTAATCTTCTGCTGCATCACATTTACCCATTTACATTACTCCCCATTTAAGATTTCTGCTCCTGCAGAAATATCAAGAGTTTCTAGTACAAAAGTTTGATATTTATTAGACTTTAATCATCGAATTATGGTCAAGGTCAGACATTGAGTATCAAAAATTCGTTAGACTCCTACATTTTTAAAGAGATGATAAACTTGAATAGCAGTTCAGTAATAATGTTTAGTTATCATTGCCATTTGTACTGTTCATTGGGCCAGTGAAATAGTCACATTATTAATAAGTTGTCTTAAATAAAAAGCATTAACAAGAGATAAAATACAGTTTCTCATACAGGTAGAATGGAGTAGGGTTTGATAAGTGGACTGCATTTTTTGAGCTAAGGATGCGTCAGTTTGATATAGAGGTTCCATTGGTCAAATTTTTCTTCGAGAACAGTTATAGGAATTTGAAGTTCTTTTAAAACTACTTCAAAATTCGTAAGTTCTATTATAATTTTATTTGTTTGAATAATGTAATATGATATAGATCTCTTTTATAATATCTTAATGCTGATCATTATTCAATAATAATCTGAGGTTCCCATTCAGTTCGTTCTAGATATGGCTTTAGAAGATCTGCATGTATAGAGTTCTTTCTAACTCATTTATCTATAGTACGAAGTTTATAAGTTCTAGGTCTCACAATGTCGTGAATGTAAAAAAGCCCATCAAATTTATCTTTAAATTTGTCTCTGTGAATGTGTGATTGTGTGATTGTGTGACATTAAATAATAAACCTTTATCTCTAATTTGGTAAGAAATTTTAGGTTGATCCTTATTGTAACGTTCTTATTGCTTTTGTTGTCATTGCATAATATTTTGTTGTGCATCTAATTATCGTTGTTGCAATTGTGATAAGATTATCTGCTGATGTTTTTCCATAGCATTTGATAAGTTCGTAATAGGTGAAGATCGCTGTAGTTGTAAATCTATAAGTAGAACTGCTTTTCGTCTATATAACAACTCAAATAGTTCGAATTTAGTTATCCTTTACTGAGCAGTTCGGTACGCGAATAACGCTGATGTCAAATAAGTATTCCATTCTCTATAATATTGCTCAGCGTACTTGGCTAAAATTATACACAAGGTTCTATTAAAGCGTCCAGTAAAGCTATTGGTTTGAGAGTGATACAACAAAGTAGTTACTAATTCATTTTGAAATGACGTTGCTTAGTCAGTTAATATTTCTTTTAGTGTTTCGTGTCGACATATGAGTTCATTGTAAATAAACTGTGCAGTAGTCTGGGCAGTACAGTCAACTCTTGTTATAATGAACTCTATGTCCTAGACCTCAACTTCACTATAAAGTTATAGTGAAGATTTTAAGAGATTTTATTGACTAATTCGCTATAACAAGAGTATTTTTATTATATTTGTTCAAAAAATTCGTTATATCAAGAGTTCGCTATATCAAGAGTTAACTGTACAATCTGGTATGGCACTAGCTTCAACCCATTTTGTCAAATATTCAGTTGCTACAATAATATACCTATTTTCTTTGGTCGTACGTGAAAGTGGTCCTACGTAATCTATTCTAATATGATCGAATGGTTATCTAACAGGTATAGGGTGTAACAGTTCTTTGGGTTTTGGCCTTCCTTATCGTTAGCATACATCATATGTTCGTATCCAATTATTAATCATTTTATACATACTAGACCAGTAATATCGAGAGGCAATTTTATTATAAGTGAAGTCACATGCTAAATGTTCTCCTAAAGGTTTATTATGAATATTATGTAGAATACTTTTAACTTTATTAGTTTTAATTACAAGTAATGGTTGAGTTGAATGCTTATGATTACGTTTATAAAGTTATTAGTTTTGTACAAAATAATGTTAAGCTTATTTTTGAACTGCGTGTTGTTGTGAAGGGTGAGGTTTGGAAGGTATGTGAGTTGAACAAGATATTGGTATAATTGGCGGTAGGTTTCAGGTTCCATATTGTAGAGCTGTTAATCACACTGCTAATACTTATGCTTTCACTCTCAGATTTTTTTTTTATGATTATTGTGGATTATTGTGGAGGAAGTCGAATAATGCGTTAGCATTTGAATGTAATTTTCCTTTTTTATATTGAATTGATATAGGAATTCTATAATACGAATAATCCATCTCATAAACTTATAAGAAGGGTCAGATTTATTAAAAAGCCATTGTAGGGCTGCATGGTCAGTAATTAGTTCAAATTGTTGATATAACAAATAAGGTCAAAAGTATTCCATTCCTCATACAGTGGTAAGACATTCTAATTCAGTTGGAGTATAATTTCGCTTAGCATGGCTTATATTTTGACTAGCATAAACTATAACATGTTCCTTATTATTATTGTCTAATTGTGCCAATACTGCGTTAAGACCTATATATGAACCATCGGTAAAGAGTAAAAACTTGCGTTTAAAATCAGAATAAATCAAGACTGGTGCAGTTATTAAACATTTTTTTAAATGCTCAAAAGCCTTTTGTTATAGTTCTGTCTAAATATAAGGTATATCTTTCCGTAATAATAAATGTAATAGTGTAGCAGATGTTAAAAAATCCTGAATAAATCTTCTATAATACGATGCTAGTCAGGATCCTTAAATATGAAAAATTTTATATAGTAAACTCTATACATACACTTTTAAATTTTTTTAAGAAGTTTCATCGTATTGTCATACAAATTTTCTTTTTAAGCGATCACGTGTAGTAACTTTCATTGTATACTTAATATACTATAAGTAAAATTGCTTGTCGTATATCTATTTAATAGCAAAATGATTTATTGTACAGTTTGTTTCACAATAAGCCATCCAATAAAATTATTAAACTTAAAAATAAAATAAAAATTCTTCTATTGCATATATTTAAAATATCTTAACGTAAATCGATAGATATTGACTATTGTTATAAAATGATGTTGAGATCATTTCGATTGATAATGTATATCAAAAGTTATTAACTGATAAAGTTTAGGTATTTTCTTAAGTTGAAATGAAATTTGAAACATATAATCCCAGCCCAAATTAAATTTGAAACATATATCCTAACCTTGAATTATCAAATTTATGGAATGTTATAAAAAAGGGTCAATAAGCTATATGTTTTATAAAAAATATAAATTACACAGAACTGTTTCAGATTTTAGTTTTGAAAATATTGATAAATTGATAAAATAAAGTTTATTCTCAGTTTAAACTTTAATTAATCAGATGTTAAATTTGTTAGATTATATTATCATGTTATTTGTATTTTAGCCAATCATAAATCAGTATTATATTTATCACGTGATTATATAAATTTTGAAATTTGAAACATATAATAAATATTTGATGGCTTTTTATGGAACACACTATACAGTCAATTAGTAACTAAGAAAAGATTAATTGTACAATTTTATCCAAATTTAGCATTACTATTGTACATATATTGTACATTATACTGGCAGATCGGCAACATGCATAATTAGAAAATTCATTTGTTTTTATAATTATGCATGTTGCCAATCTTCTGTAATACTTATCATACTTTCTTTTCTCTTTTCTTAAAACACTTAAAACACGTTTTGAAATAACTAAATAATTGTAATGTGACCAGGTATTGATCTTGATAATCATGGATCTACAATTGTGTAGCGAAATACAAATGTCAATAATGTTAATTATATTTAATATGTCTAACATGTTTAATATAGCCAATATGTCTAACATATCAGATATGTCTAACATAGTTAATATAGTTAATATAGTTGATATAGTTAACATAGTTAATATATTAGATATATCAAAATATGTAATAGAATAGATATAAATACAACCTCTTTTGTCCATTAGAAAGATAGGACTGATGGCTATATAAAACCTCTCTCTTGTAAAAGATAATGCAATGCTACTCTTCACTTCGTATACCTCTGTTACTTATTTCTTATTTCTTATTTCTTCTATATATCGTTATCTCATTATTTTCTTTTACCTCAATAAAGTATTTCTTATTTCTTATCTGAAACTCTTCTCAAACTTATTGTGAAAACTCTTAACTCGTGATTGAAGCCGCTCATGTCTAATAAACTTGATTTAATACTATAAACTGATAGCAATTAGCTAAGATTATTGAAAACTAACTGAAATTACTATGTAAACTATAAAAGAGTCAACCCTTGATACTGCGTCTAATAGTTGTATTAGCTCGTATCGTTTAGTCACGGTAAATTTTTTTTTAGTGTCAAATTTATTAATTACATATAAACATATAAAATTATGTGACTAAAAAGTGCCAAATTTATAAATTTATATATAGATTATATGATACGTGATTGATATTTATACTTTATTAAATTGATTTAAGATAATTCTTCAAAAATTGATTGAGAAATAACACGATGTCTTTTATACTTTTTAATTGCATATTCTGCTTGCTTTGCATTAAGTCCTTTTCTATAAGCATCAATATATCTAAAAGACTTATCAGTCTGCGGAAATGTCACAAGACTTGTAGATCATTAATAATTTAGTTTGTGTAATGTTCTAACGCAAATGTAAAGTCTAAGCTAATTTAGCTATACATTTAAAAAAAAAAAAAAAATTATGCTTATTCCAATTCTTTATATATCGTTTGACATTTCTATAAAATTTTTTTTATATATGTATATTAATATTATAAAGTTAATATTAACGAAACTTTATTCACCTTTTCACCTTTATGTTACTAATTGAACTGTTAAACATACTTGAAAGTTCAGAAATACCACCCAGTTACCCTTCTTTTGTAGCAATCTTTCCGTTAATATAAGCATGAAATAGCACTTTAGAAAACAGTTTTTGTAAAAAAAGTGCAATTTTATTTTTTATAAATAACAACAAAGTAATTATTTATTGAATAAAGTTGCAAAATTAAATTTATGCACTTTCATTATTTTTTTTTTATTAACACGATAAATCCACCAATTATAAACCCTTGTCTTGGAAAGAGAGGTGAAGCTACAGCAAGAGCATCCCGTTGCAAATCATAGTTTCTAATTCTCATTCCTATTTTATGAGTTTTCCAGATTCCAGCCCAATGATAAAAAAGATACCAAATTTTTAAAAAAATATTTGTTTGTATTTCCATCCATTATTTCTGACAAATGAAAATTCTTTTTCTTTGCGTATATATTAATTCTGATTCTAACCGCAATCCATAAAAGGTCCAAAACTCTAGATGTTGTTCAATAGTCAACAGCCGCTTCAAACTTATCCAGAAATCGAACACCTAACCTTTTTGCTAAATTTAATAACCCATAGCTAGAAAATAACACAATTAGAACTGAGCAAAAGTCCTTCGAGGTATGCCATTGTCCAAGCAATGGTCTTAGTTGAGGATATTGTGCTTGACATCTAATTAGTCGACGAAAAATTGCTTCATCAGCCACAATATCAAGATACTCAGATTCCAGCAAATTAAAATCAGCTTTATACATGTTAGCAGCACCTAAAATTGCTTGATCTGAGTTCGGGTTATCGCCTGGTTCAAGAATTACAACGTGAGGAGAAGGACCTTGACAACTATGTTCAAATTCTGCTAGTATTTCTTTTTTAATTATTTCTGCATCAAAATTTTAGTTATAAACCAAATTTTCTTCATTTGTTTTTCAAAAATCTAACAATTTTTCTAATATCTTTTGAAAGCTGTTTAGAGCTTCTTGTGTGGTAAAATTCATACCAAATATATGGGTATCATTTTCTAAAGGAATTACTTCATCGTGACGGGTTACCAAATGATTGGGAATTTCTAACTGGAATGCCATTCTTAGGGTTGCATGTGAACTATTCTGAGTAGTATCATATATATTTCCAAAAGAAAATGTCTTCTGTTTAAAATCGATGTTATCTATAATTGCAAGATTCCATATATTTGATTTTTGGTATAACCTTTGTATGGGAACAGCTTTATTAATTCGTTCTTTTTCTTGATTTCTTTCATGACGTTCACTATGTCCAATTACATTCCACACAGTGAGAAGATGATGAACTGATAATAATAATTTTGGTTTGCGTGCCAAACTGCTTAGTACATTATTCAACCAAATTCCATGTGAAGGAAATGCTATACTAATAAGAATAGAAACCAAAAAGGTAACTACTTTAATAATTGTATCTTTAGACAAAGTTTTTGTGAGTTGTCCCCGATGCTTTCTTTGTCTATTACTAACAGCAAGTTTTCGTTTATAGATCTCCATTAACATTCCTTCAAAAAACTCTGAAATGAAGCTTGGAAACGCGTGGTAATATTCAGAAAGGGATCCTGGTGAGCTTAATGAATCTTTTTTTTCATTTATTACTTCACGTGATTTCTAAAGTTTAATCCCGATTTGTCTTCCTAAAGTTTCATAGTTAACGATTTCTGTATCATTATTTTGAATTGGAAATTCCTTATTATTAATAAATGTATCAAGAAAAAGAGTTTGTATAATAAAAAGACTGGGGGTTTTATCAGATTCGGTATTGTATGATGTAGTTTTAGTTGAAGTTGTAGGAAGAAAGGGTAGAATAGCTTTAACAACAGATTTTAAAATTTTTTTTTTTATTGGTTCTTCGCTTATATAGGAAATTTTTTTAAGCCAGTTTGCAACAAGTTCAATTTTCTTTGATGTATCTTGTTCATGTAATTTATCTTGAATGCAGTTTGATTTTTTACCCTGACCTGTATGTTTGTGAATATGTCCACCCAATTGTTTATAACAAGTGCAACAGATACATCTTGGTTTCTTTAATTCGTTAAAAGCACGCTTTGATATGAAAGAATCCTTTAATGCATTACAATGCATCAGCCTATTACAAGGTACTTGAATATTTCGACCATTAACAAACCAAAAATGATTACTACATCCTTTCCCTCGACTAAAAAAAGTTATATATTTTTTACATCCTATACATCTTCGATGTTGGATTATTGCATCTGTAAAATTTGTAAATATTTTTTCTTTGGGATTGTGAATTTGGTTTTGATCGTATAAGAAATGTAAATCACAAACTCCTAATTTCAAATAATCATTATTAACTTGTTGAACTGCATCTCGATTTATTTGCTATATTCCATATAAATTTCACAGTTTTTTAAGTTTGTAAGTTCCATTGCATCGTTGAATTGTATCTTGAATATTATCAATAATTACACAAGGCGAAACAGATGTTTGTACATTGCATTTTTTACTAGTGGACCCTTCATTTATGCCAAATTTATTGCTTGGTATTACTTCATCCCTTTCTTCTTTATGCTCATTATCAGAGTTTTGTTTGTTATTGCCATTATTGTTTTGTTCTAATTCTACTTCAATATCATAATCATATTCGCCTGCATATGATTCTATTTCACTATCTTCATCACTTTCATGAGCTAGCATTTTATTTAACACATTATTAAACCTAAAAGTGAACTCATCAAAATTATTATCTAGTTCCTCTTCAAGAAACAGTCTGAACACTTCGTCTTCATTGTCCCTTAGGCTTTGAGTTTGAATGCTACTAGTATCATAATTTTTAATGTTGTTAAATTGACAATTATTATGATAATTGTTGAGATCGTTGCGAGGAGAGTGAGTGAAATTAGACCCATCGGCAGTATGAGTAGTATAATCATTGCGGTGGGTGGTGGAATAACTTGAAATTACTTCCTCAATAATATCTTTTAGGTCAAATTCTTGTGGTGGTATAAAGTTGTTACCTCCAAGATTTGACATTGTTAAAAATACTCCAACTTTGGGCTCCGAATTGAACGAAACATAATTAAAACTCGCGTCAAAATAACACTTTTATCATCATAATTCAATCATGTAGTTTCATGTTGCTTATTTTATAAAAAAGTGTTACATTGTTGTAATGCGGTATTACCTTTGATCCGAAATTTTCAATTTTAACTAAATTTGGGCTGGCATTATAATTTTAGCCAGAATTAAGAAAATTTTGACCAGAATTATGATTT